CTTTCACAAGAATTTTTGTATTAACATTTTTAAAGAGAAACACCCCAATGAATGTACTTTTAAGACAATGTTTTGCAAGGCAGTTTTAAAGGACTTTTGAATTAGTTGGAGCTAAAAACATGAAGGGTCAGAGAAACATCATAAAAAAAAAATATCCCAACCACCATATTATTTAAAGTGGATTCAAAAAGACAGAATAATAAAAAAAATAATCATCCCCCAGAATCTCACAGACCATAATGACCATCCAGCCTCAGAACACTAACTTCAGGTGCTGTCTACTTCTGACCGGGATGGGAAAAGGAAAGAAAAAACCAAATCAGCCTTCACACCTTCAAGTGACCACACTAATATTTTAAGGACCTAGAGGCACAACAGCATTTAATATGTGAAATAACCACTGGTAAATGCTCATAGTAACTTGAGGATGCTGGACTAATTCCTTTCTTTAGGGTTCTTTCCAACTCTGGCACTTCTAGTTTTTTCCACCCAATAAAACCTCTGAGGTGTTTGGGATTTTTTTGTTTGGTTTTTTTTTTAGTTTGTGGGTTTTTTCATTTGTTTAATGTCTCATTTATACTTTTACACCACTCTCCACATCTTACCTTAATGCTATCCCACCTTACTCTCAGCATCCTCTTGCATTTCATCTCTTTCAGGGCTACACCACCACAAGATTAATCTGTCAGCCTACTTTTTCCCACAGCTTTTTGTCAGCAAAGAAGCTCTCCTGTCCTCAGGACACCTCTGTACCTTTGCTTCCAAGCAGACTGAAAGGCTCTATCACTCCTACCTCCAACTCAAGTCGTGCTGCTGCAAATCATCCTGTTCAGCCCAGTTCATCCAAACACACATCAGGGTTTCCTCACTGAATTTTCCTTTAGGACAACTTGAAGCCAGCGTTTTTCAAAGGAGTGACTTCACAAACACACAAAACCCACCTCTGTTTCAGCTTTTTGCAGTGCTTTTAGGAACATGTTCCTCAGGCAGGGGCTATTTTCACACCGCTACATTGTACACAGCATCTCTGCTGCGGTTCAAGGGTCTAAAGTAGAAAGGGAAACCACCACCCTGTAGACAAGGGCCTTGCTGCTGCCACGAGATGCAACTGATTAAGTGTAGCCTAGGCAACAAGACTTTTTAAAACCTGAAACACCCTTGGCTAAGAAAAAAGCAGGATGGAGTAATTCTGCCACTGGATATATATGCTTTACTTTCACACTGAATTTTCTTGGAGTCGTGTATGCATATCTAAGCAGTGAATCTTGCTTCTAGATATCTCTCAGCACTTTGATTAAGCATGAAAATTATTTTTACAACTGTTTTACATCTGCCCACAGAAGACAGATCTGCTCAGAGAAGCTTAAAATTACATCTCTTAAAAATTCTACCCAAAGCAAGATCCTTGAGACCGGCTACAAAGTCAAACATTCGGTGTTCCTCCCTACTGAGGCCTTCAGATTTGACTGACCTCCATCTGGGCACCTCACAGCACCCCTCATGTGAAAGAAGACTGGCACATAGATATAAAACAGGTTATAGCATAGAGGCATTTTTCCAGTACTGTGTGCAGCTATGACGTAAGTCACTTACATTTGGTTAATTTTGGTCCTGCTTTAATAAGATCTTCAAAAGTTACTTCTCGGTTATCAGTGCCAATGTTTTGCCCCTATTTGAATTCAAACGAAGATCACGCTTCTTCTCAGGCCAAACTGCAGCGATCCCATCATCTGTGATGCCATGTGTGGACTACAGCAAATCACTGAGCAAACATGAGCACCGCATACAAAGTCTGCTCAATACTGGAACATTTCTACATCAGTTCCCAGCCCAGGCTGTACCAAAGGGATGTGGTGCTACTGATCTGCTGTACCTGCAACACTGCCCAAGGCAATGGAGGCTCAGTCTCAAGTATGACAAGACTAAATATCGGGCCTACTGAATGACGTTCACCAGACACGTATGGTTGCTTTACATCCCAGATGTAAATGCTGCTGTTTGGACAAATGCACCTCAGGGAAGACCTTCTGTTCCATTTGTAAGGGAGGTATTTTTGCCAGGTGTCATAAAAACACCACGTAAGATTACAGAGACATGGCTGTAGTTCCTGACCTTGCCAGAGACTTCCTGTGCAACACCCCAGACAAGCCTCTGGGTGCCTTTCTTCAAAATGAAAAAGGGTTGAAGATAGTGCAATAAACTTCATTATTACTTCTCCTGAACATATTTATTGTGGAAAGCATTTTATCTCAGACGACGCTTATAAAGCATGCATATAAATAACAGAAATGCCTGCTAAAATTTTATTACTTTTGTTGCCATTTACTATTAAGCATAAACTTCCCCATGAAAGCTTTAGTGAAGTAACTACAAAGGTTGGAAAAGGTTCACACCATTCTCTCTCCATGTATAAATTATAAGTACTATGAGAACATTTACAACGTCTAACCACAATGTTTTATGTCAGACAAATGTCTCTGTACTTGCAGTTCCTAAACGGTGCTAGCAAGAATTGCCTTTTTCTCATTCTTTTCTCTCTCCCTCCCCTCCTTCGGCACTCAGCAGTCTCAGTCGAATCTGCCTTTATTCCTTCATACGATTATAGCGTCAAGAAATGCCTGGAGTCAGGGCTCTGGTAGATGTAACACCATTGTTCTTTTTCTGGAGAGCTTAAGATTGAATGCTACAACATCCCCAGGTTGCCTCTTCAAGTATTTGAGTCATCAGCTTTTTAGTTTTCCAGTAAAAAGGGAGAAAAGCCAACAATATTCTAAAAAGAGAGTTTTATTATATGAGACATCTTCATGTCATGGCAAAAAAACCAAAAGAGCAGCAAGTAAAACCTGCAGTACAGAAGACATGTGATTTTCAAGGGCAATAGCCTGCAGTTGTGCCAAACCTGAACAGAACCATGGCAATTCTGAATCCCTGATAAAGGTGAAGCATAACAAAGAACACAAAAGTCATCCAACAAATAAACAAGACAAACACTTGCTGCTACATCTGAGAACAGCAATGAAAGGTAGATCAATTTTTTTAGAACATTTGGCTGAGCTATCCTTTGGGTAAAAGATGCTACCAAGGAGTGTGGGGAAAAAACCCCAAACAATTCAGTAAGGTTTTTGCAAACAAAATCCCAGTTAGTGCTTCTCTTCCTGTCTGAGACTTTTCTAAAACAAATCACCCCCAGCCAAACCGTGCAAAGATGTAGGAATTCGTTTCTTATCACTAAGCATAAGTTTCCTGGCAGAATGAAAGTAAAGTCAAATGTAGTTAATAACGAATGAGGTCAAACAACAACAGTTGTTACAAACATTTGCTCCTTTCCATTTTCCTCTTCTCTGAGATACCTTTGGTACTAAATGGCATGTATGACAGTACGGAGAATAAGAAATTAAACTTAAGACCCTGTAAGTGAGAACAGATCTGAAAGCCAACCTCAGCTGGAAACCTCATCTCCACTCCCTCACAAAGCATTATTTTAAGTCCCACAACTCACTTCACACAGACATTCACACTTATGTACTTTTTCTTTTCTTCATGAGTTGTACTTCATGGAAGAAGATGACACTGAAGTATTCAATAGGAAGTGTGGAGGTCAGCAAGAGTTACACATGATTGCACAAAATACAGGGATTACCCAACCAGGAGGGTAATAAGCTGTCTAATAAACTTACCTCTGAATTTTTTGGGAGGGTTGTTAAGATCACCTGCTTCTGGCTGTACAACACAGCGATCATCCACAAGGCTGCAAAGGAATGAGAAGTAAAATGAGATTTTACTCCCTTGTGATTGCTTACATCCTTGTTAGCAAAATCAAAGTTGTTTATCTGCAGTATTTTATCCAAGTGGCCACTTCAGCAAAAGACATTCCCCAAATGCCAACTTATGCCAAACCTTTCTAAGAAGCATGCAGCTAATTTTTACTGTTGCCCAGAGCTATGCTCCTGGATAGGTGGGACAATAAATAAGTCATTGCTCCTGTATACTGCATCATCTTTATGTCCCCTCCTTGAGGTGCAGACAGAACAGCCCATATTCTAGTTAGGCAAGAGACAGCCTTAGAACAGTTATTGCCTCTTGGACAGATTTAAATAATATTGCAAATGTGTTTATATGCAGGGCAGACAGGAAAATATGACGACTGTGCAAACTGGACACTGCCTCTATGACCTCTCAAGTATTAAGCAAAGGCAGAAACAATAACTGCCACAATAAAAACTGACTCTCAAGAAAAAGGAAGGCATAAATACAGCCTCCTGCTCACCAGTCACAACCACAAGATAAGTCAGGGTGTTGAACTAACCTCCTCCTGTTCTACTAGGAAGGAGGCGAATTGGACAAGGGAATGCATTCAACAGGGAATGCCAGGACAGAGCTGTTCCTGTGAATAGACAGCGGCAAAAAACCCACAGGGTCAACTCAAAGCCCAAAGAATAAAGAAAATAGTTGAGATGTAGCTGTCAGTCACCACTGCTCTGCCCTGAGTGTGCTTTGCATCAACACAGAACTGGACTTATACCAAACACTATTTCCAAATGGTGAAAATGCACCTGGAACCAAATACTTTGCAGTTTCTGGTTTGATCCTAAGTGACTCAAATTGGCCCCTTAAAACCAATCTGTCAAAGAGGCTTTCTACACAAAAGTAGAAAGTAAAACTCCAAGGTCTTAAAGGTTTGAGAGGTCCATTCTCATGCAGAATCAACTTGAGAAAGATTGAGACCTAGAATATGAGAGTTGTTCCTTGCAGAGGCTGGTTACATGCAGGGAGCATCTTGAGACAACAATTGTGGAAAATAATGAAGTGCATAAAAATTAAGAGATCAGAGAGATTAAGTGGATTCAACAGTTCTATGCATCTAAAACTTGCATATGCAAACATTCAGAGTAAATTGCTTTTTCCCCATGGATTTTTCTCCCTATTCAGTATTATATATACGTATATGTGCTCCAACAAGAATGGTGGTATTAATATTTGAGCTGACTGAAACACCTGCTTCTAGTGAACAAAGGGCCAAGAAAATATCAAAAGTCAAATGGTTTATTCTGGTCATCCCACACAGAGACAATCTCAGTGCAATATATCACTCTCATCCTGAGATTAAATTGAAAGTAAAGAAGAACTTCCCAAACTACTAAGAAAATAATTTTACAGGGCGCAAAACACAACAGATGATATATTGAACACTGGCAATTGTAATGATGACAGCACTGAGTTTGGGAAACAGTAAGAGTAAAGTCCCGATTAAGCAACAGTCATGTCATAGGAATATTAAAGAGGAACACTCTTCAAAGATTTAGAACGACATTAGAATGTATAGTGGGATCTGTTTCTCAACCTTCATTAACCACATGAACAAGTCATTACACATTGTTATGACATAAGACTGTCAAAACTCCACATGGTATAGAGTACAATTACATTGAATCTTGCCTTTGCTTCTTTAATTTTCTCCAGGACAAAGACTAAATTAAATATGGGACAAAACTAATTTGATTATGAAGGCTTATTAAGATGATAATGCATTTCATGTTTCACATAGCAGTTGGGATTTCTGGCTTAAATCAGGCTCAGAAGATGTGTGGCCATTATATAATGCAGTTACCTTAAAACAGTACTGATCAAATCAAAGAGGATGCTTGTAGCTCTAAGGGATCTTTAGACCTGCTGTGAGAACATCTCATCAAGCCTAGAAAATACATGTGCTTCAGGCCTGTAATATCTAAAAGGACTACCCATGGTGAAAAATATCTGCTCAGCAATGCCATCAAAAGCCACAGCCACTGCATAATGTTCATCATGCACCATATGGGATTAAACATAACATAACAACTTTCTACTTGTTTGGGAATTATTTACTGCCAAACTTGTTTCAATACTAGGAAGAAAAAAAATAGCCAAATGTATAGTATCGCTCAATTCATTTTGCCAGTTTTCAGCAGGTAGTATTTGGCCAGTTACACAGCTGATCAAATACTGCAGAGTCATACATGTCATATTTGACGAGTACCTGGGAAATTTGTCAAATACATTCGCCAAATACTATTTGACCAACCCTACTTACTACATCCCTTGCTTTTATCATACCTTCTTTCCCTTCTGGCAGCATCCCATATTTTCTTCTCTTTCCTATAATAGATCATGGTGCATCTTCAGTGTCTGCTTCCTTCTCTGCCCCCTTATTTTCCACAATCCTAATAGCTAGAGGACTAAACCTACAAGTTAGTTTGGAGTCACTCAGATGAGATTCCAGCCCATCGTTTCCTGCCGAGAGACTTACCAGGATGCTGTCTTTGTACCCTGCTTGGGAGCTCCATTTAGCAGATGCATCTGGACAGTAGGCATCAAAATATTTGCTGTCACTGTACCCACCCTGAGGCCCTTACGGCTACTGGAAATGAGAAAGAGCATGTTGTGTGCGTGCCCACTCACCACATTGTCAAGCTTCCTGGTTGCTTCATTGCTACTCATTCAGTAGTGAAGTACCACAGCAATGTGTCATGCATGCTATTTCCCTCCCTCTAATTTCTCACTGCTTTGAAACAAGGTGGCAGATGTGCTCTTTGAGCTGCTCATCCAGCCCCCTGCAAGGTCTTCCAAATCAGTACACAGCTCCACTGACAGTTTCTGATGTTTGGAGAGATTTCTCCTCAGCACCAGCTGAGCAGAATAAAACATAACCTGTCACTCATCAGAGCTGTATTTCAATTCCACGGCTTTTCTTTGCAAACTCTTCCTATGTGAATGGCTACTTTTTGTTTAATGAAGTGGCACACACTTCTTACTGCTTAAAAGGCACTCTCCTATAGAGCACCTACTCTGTGTCTTTGCAGAAGAAAGCGCAAAGGAGCTGGCAAGGCACAGCTCCCACCGCAGCTCTGGGGTGCTGACCATTGGCAAAGCAGACGATTCAAAGATTCAAAACATGTTCTCCTGTGACTGGAGATGAACAATTTTCTTTGTACGAGAAACCTCAAATACTGTAAGAGAAGACACAACTAGTCATAGTGGTAAGTTAGTGGTATATAAACGGGTTGGCTCAGGGTTGCTTTTTTTTTTATTATTTATTTTTTTAAGCTACTTCCATTGCCTATGCTACATCCTTTTTTCCAATCAGCAGATTGCACTGGGGCCTACTCATTCCTGACTGGGGGGGGCAGGGAGGGACAGGACGGGACACACAGATGGACACGGGACAGACAACATGAAAATAATTTGCTTGCATTCATTCCCTCTACCCACACCTTAACTCCACAAACTTCTTCCTCCCCACCAAGTATATCAAAACCACACCATAGCCATCGATACACTCTCCATCCTCCCAATATCTAACTTGCCATATTAGCTTCAGGTCATTTTAAATTTAGGGCTAAATCTGCACATAATGCTACCTTGCTTTACCCTGTATTTCCAGGGAGTCAGGCTCAGGATAGCTAGCTGAGCTCTGCTAGTCCTTCTTATGGATGGCTTTAGTACAAGAGAACAGCTGTTCTTACCCCAAAGTGCTAATAAATCCATTTGTTGAGCCCTCTGCATAGAGAGAACAAATATCTCCAATATGAAGGAAGCTCGACATCTTGTCAGTCATCTCTGGCTTACTGCCCCTAGAAGAATAAAGCACAACATTACTATTTATCAGGCAGAATTTCTCGGTATACACTACTGGAGGTTACAACAACAGGACCCTTCATTCATTCGTTTGAAAAAAACTGAACAAGTTCTTGCAGTGGAACTTCGGGTATAAAAGAAAACACAGTATGTCAAAATACTAGCTTAGAAAAATAAACCAGGGAATAAACAAACAGCTACTGGCAACCCATTCAGTGTGGGACTCTTTTAGGGGTAGCCATACCCGTCCCAACAGATGCTCACAGCCATTTCAGCCCAGCTGATTCGATCCATGCAATCATACCTGTGAGAAGGAAAGGAGAAAGAAGAGTGGGCTGCCTCAGCTCAAGACATTTGTGCCATCTAAATCACAACACTTTTCTCTGCCAGATTCTTTGTCATAATCAAAGGTAGGTTTGAGCATATTTTAAAGGTTCTCTGGTGTGCTGGAGCGGTACTGGTGGGAATTGTAATGTAAAATATTGACATGATTCACGTCAATATTTTTTGGTCATGTCAAAATATTGACATGACCAGCACTGAGGTAGCCACCAGCTCACAGCTGCGGTCTCAGAGACAGCATTAGATGAAGACCCACTGACTATGCCTGACTACAGATTTTGCATGTAAAAATGTAAAGATTAAGATTTTTCCGAGCCAAATACTTTAAAATAAGTCTGTATAAGGAGGCCAAATCCCTGTGAAATCAGGAACACTTCAATCCTGTTTTTAAAACAGATTGCCTACAAGTAACACTGAGGAGACAGCCACTTAGCATTGTCAGCTTCCACGGTATTAAGAACTATCCTTATTTTCTTTAAAGCCTCAATTCCTGAACTGAATGATACAGGATGTACCAGTCATTTAAATAAATATAAAAAAGCAAGTTCCTATCTGTCACAGCAACAAAGAAAAAGACAACCAACATGAGCCCAGATAAAAAGAAGCCCAACTGAATAGATTTTTCAAAGATGTCTTTTCCACAACCATTTACTGGTTTCTTGGAGGTTTTCCTAAGTCATGCTTTTTGATCAAGTTCAAAACACTGACATCGCTTTTTGTGCGGGAGGTTTCAAAGAGCAGGCAGTGATGCTGCTCTTCCAAGCGGCTCCTCCGCCCAGGCTGGTGACTCGCTCTGCAGGGCAGCCCTGCCTCGGACCAGGCTTCCAGACTGAGGGGAAAACAATCAAAACCACTTTCACCCTCTCCGACATCACACCCAAATCAGTTTTAAATGGGCTACCACCAGGAGAACTAAGCAGCAGGAAATCATGCTTATTATGGAGCACAGCCCTGACATTGTACTGGGGATAAATACTCCCTTTCACTGAACATTATCTTGTTTACCAAAAGTGTAAGGATCAAGTTTATTAAGCAAGGCTGGAGCTCAACAAGGACAGATTCATGGAGATTTAAAAGTTAAATGTTGATAATGCAGCACAGACAAGAAATTGAAAGCAAAAAACTGAAGCTATGCTTTTCTTTTAAAAAGCTGCAAAACGGCCATCCCTCCTCTGCCTCACCCCCTAGGTAGTCATGGTGATAACAGTAATAATTACTTCCATTATTATTAAGTCAAAGCACATTATGCACATTCTCAGGCCTGTAAATCCCTGTGTCACCTGCACAATTAAAAACAAATTCAGGAAAACCAAAAGATAATGGGCCCAAGTTCATATGCAGGGTAAAGAAGTCTCAGCTCCTCTGAAATAAAAAACTGTGTGCATACAGAAGCAAATTATTTGGCTTCAGGTTGCTCGTTTAATGCCAAGTCCTTCAGCCACTGCATATGTTATACAGTCCGTTCCCATCCCCTCTTGATAAGTGGACAGAAAAACATTACTACCTATTTTAAGATATATGCCACAAAACGTACAGAAATCTGCTGAGTGACTGAATTGGCATCACTAGAAACGCAGCTTTCCTCATTTCCTGACTCTGACGTTAACTACGAGCATCATGCTAAAATCTTTTAAGCCCTCAAAATTAAGCTCAGCCCTAAATTAATGCAGCACAAAGCAAAAGGTATTCAAATCAACAAGAAATGTAGGTAACTCCAAACAATGCCTTTTTACAATGTCATTTAAGGTATCCCATTGGGGGTGTGAGGGGGATTACTCTACTGAACCACACCATTTTTCCTTTAGAAGAGGCAGATGTTCACCACAGCTGCTCCCAAGAGAATGTGAAGGTCACAATTATTAACTTCCATTAGAAAGGAGAAGAATTTTTTCTTGACAAAAAAAATAGTCGTCTCAGATCATTGACCCAAACCAGGCCCAAGGACGGGCAATCACATTTCTGCATTACTTTCCAGAATATAGCCTCCATTTCCTTGTATTTTCTTTACCGAGGAAGATCCTGGCACACCATGATGCATACCATGATACTGTAACCCCAACATACCACGCTGTACACTGTGACAGTGTAACTCCTAAAATAAGCCCTTCTGCAATTTATTGACATTTTCATTACTAAAATGTTTAGCAACTTTACCTATAAACATTATATATGTTTACGGATAACAGAAAGGCAGTTTTAGGTCTGGAAGCAGTTCTACTGCACAGTACAATTGAATTGCATTGCCAATCTGTTCACCAGATCCTTCAGAATTTTTTCTGGATGAGCTCGCAAAGCCATCGCTACCGAGTCAGGGTGCAAACTGCCTGCGGCACGGCTGGACCCAGCCCCTTCTGCAGCCCAGGAGAGCAGTGCTCCTCGTGCTGCCTGCTGGCCATCAGCTTTGCTGGAGTTAAGGCTTACAAAGGGTTGATCTGGCTACAGTAACCTTATTTTTTAAGGCTTTTTTCAAGCATGCAGTATTTAGCATTTAAGTCCTCAGTCATCCTTTTCTCGTACTCTATTTGAAAACTGTTTTAACGCCGATCAACGTGATGTTACCTCCAACGCAACAGGAGATACTTGGATGGAGTGTGTCTCCGCTGCTCTCATAAAGCACACTGCCAATTCTAAGTAGGGTGAGCCTCTTCATAAAACACCTATTTATCCTTAAAGGCTTACCTGCAGACTAAACTGGCACGATGAACGCTGTCTACCACTATTACTTTCTTTAATAACTGAATACCAAAAGTCAGTCCACTTGACATTTATCTTCAAACATGCTGTTTTCTGAGGTTGGCCAGTGCTCAGGAACATGCTGAAATGGCAGATGGAGTGAGGGACTAAATGACCCAACAGGCTGCCTTACATACAAGATTTACAAGTAAAGAGAATAACTTCCAAACTTATTTAGCTTATTTCAAAGCTGCTTCCGTAGTCTCCTCATGAGGGACTCGTGACACCTAAGACAATTACTCAACTAATTGATCAATTATTTGCACTAAAGGCTAAATGATCAGCTACCACAAATTGATTATTTTCCACCTCTGGTGCAAAGGACAACTGGGATGTCTGAGACAAGAAGTAATATTGGAAAGTTTTCAAGAGCAAAGCGTCCAGGTACCCGGTTTGAAAACCTTTTATAAACAGCTCTGACCATTAACATCAGCTGACCACACTAATCCCCAAAATCAGACCTCTACAGGAGCCCCAGCTGGAGAACCCAGAAGCTGAGGCACCAAAAATCTGTGAGCCTTGGCAAATCTGCGCAAACCTCATGGCACAGGCAGGCCACAGGGACTTAAGAGAGCAGGTTCCCCTCCTAGACATGTCAGCCAAAGCATCTGTGCGTGCCCCCTTGTCTGGGGAGGGGATGGTCCCCTTCCCACATCACATCAGCTGAAGACGTGAGATGACCACCAGAATCCCCCTGGAAGCACAAGGCAGGAGGATTCACACACACATTCTCAATACCCAGCTTTTACAGCTAAAACCACAAGCACTCTGCTCAGAAAGCAATTGTCCTCAGTAGACAAATACAACCATTACTCTGCAATTTATTTATTTTAGATATGCCAGTGCCAAGAGTAACTGATTAATACTAGAGGAGGGACAGCCCTAAGAGAACACTGGAAGTTGTTGCTATGCACAGTCCCAGTTTTCGTGGCAGTCTCACATCCTCGCAAGAGAGGAGCCCCGCAAGAAACACAACGTGTTCAGCCGTAACACGGCACGGCCCCATCCACAGAGCATGGTCGTCCACTTCCACTTAAACACTGGGGGGAAAACAAGATTTCTGATAGGTAAACTGACTTGAGAAATCGATTATGAAGTACTCTAATAAGGAAATGAAAGCAGCACGGCAATATTACCATGTGAATCTAGCAAAAGCGAATCAGGTTTCTCAAAAAAAGTATTACGAGGCTTAACTCGGGGGGCAGCAATGTCGACAGCAGCAACACATGGATTTAAAAATACTGTTCCTTTCCCTCCAAGCTGAGGACTCCAATTTTGACAGATAGAAAGTCAGACTTAGACTTTACGGTGAGAAATGAAATGTGAACTAGAAGTGGACTGTATATTGAGAAGCAGATTATATATACCTATAGACATTAAAAAATACTTGAAAGATGAGCATATTTTACAGTGTTTTTAAAGCCTTGACAGCTTGAATTCTTTTCTATTTTAGTGACGACTTCCTCATGCATATTATCTATATAAAGTTATTGTGTCTTTAAGTATGTTTCATATACAGTTTATCTGCACAGAAAATAAAATTAAGTCTCTGTTTAAGAGGCTACTAAAAAAAAATACAGAAACCTGCTGAATTTCATGTGAATTGCAAGGTGCTGCTTTGTAAGTAATTTTGCCAGTCTACAGCTTTACTCTATGGGACTGGATCTGAAAACACGTTAGCTAAATCCATGCAGTGAATTAAACCCAGGAAACCTTTCTATTCAACTCAAGTTTTAGGACTTGCCTTTCCCCTACTACTCTGTATTTGGAGAACACAAATTTGGATCACAAGACCACGAGTTTGGTCTGACTGAACAGAAAGTGCCATAATTATGGGGTTCCTTTTTGATTATTTTCTTACTTATAGATTACCTTGTGCATATCCTCTAAACAAGCTGCATTTCA